GATGTTTCTCGTGAACTTTTTAATAAAAATACACCGGATTATCAAGATGTAGAAGCAATTTCTGCTAATTGTCCCCTTCAGGAAATTGAAAATGAGGCTACTATAAATTCTTAGGTGTATAACCTAAAAACCCTTTTGGAAGAAAATGCAGAATCTCCTGAAAGTTTTGAAGATACCCAATTTATTCATCATTTTGGGTATTTAAACAAACTGGTTCCTGGATCCCATATAATGGCAGATAGGGGTTTCAGAATATTCAGCTACTTGAAAACATGGGATGCACTTTAGTAAAGCCACACCTAGTGTATCACATAATGAAAAAAGTTCTGCAGAAGATGTACAATTAAGTAAAAGAATAGCATCTCTAAGAATACATGTGGAAAGAGTTATAAGAAGGGTTAGTTAAAACCACATTCCTGGGTGAATTTTAAGCAAGTACATTTACTTAGTAATATCTGCATAATTGCTTGTTAACTTACAAGAACCTATTTTGTAATAGTAAATATTAATTTAATAAACTTTTTTTATTTGTTTTTTAATTTAATTTACCTAATTATCACATTTCAGGGATTATAATGAGTTTTTAAACAGACAATGTAATTTTTATAAAATTTTAACTTTTCGAGCAAATCAAAGAGGAATGAGTACCTGTATATGCATAGATTTTTTTGGGACTAAAACTACCAAACCAAAGGCACCTATTTACAGCAGTTTAAAATGAAACATTTTAACAAAAACGCCTATGTCACAGTGATAAATATTAAAAACAACCAAGTTCAGTTGAATGTGGTAGCAAAGTCTATATATTCCAATAAATCGGGTAACTACATGTGGTATCACTGGTGATAAATTTAAAAATATCACAATTCTTGCCACCTTTTTCAAAAAACCAGAAAGTGTGCCTTCTTATCAATCCTTTACGAAAATGACAACAGTGATAAATGTGAAAAAAAAATTTAATGTTGCTATTCGTTATTACGATAGTAAAACATGTTTGCAGTTCCGTTTATTTTTTTATGAAAATCTAAGTAAAAACAACCAATGTCAAAGGGTTATAATTTTTTTCTGTCAAACCAAATATATCACAAAATTAAAAATTGATCATAGGTCAAGCTAAAGTAATACCTTTATTGATAGTAGCTTTAAAAAAGGAGAAAGAATAATATTGACTTAAGTTATTATTATTATTAACATTGGTGATTTTTAATAAAAACTCTTCAATTATTGTTTACAAACAAAAATATAAAAATCTGAAAATTTTATTTATTAACCTTTTAATAAAAAATGAGAAATATGAAGTAAAAAAACAATTTATTTACAAAAAATCTGATGTGTCCAACACATGACTTTCCTATCTAGTTATTATAGGCTTTTTCCAGTTATTTTGTACAACCTATTGCAGCATCTCTATAAATGTTTAGAGGATAAACTAAATATATACATTGTCCACATACATCTACCTCGAAACATTTTTCTATAGATATTCATTGAAAACGAAAATACTGAAAAATTTAAATTTAGCACTTTTCCATTACGGTCCATTTTAGAAAAATCATGCATAAACAAAAATTATAGAGATCGATATCGCAAACAACGTTTAGTTCAACAATTTTCATAAAAATCAGAATTTTGCACATTTTGTCAAATTTCTCGAATACGGACCATTTCAGGAAATTTTGACATAAAAAAAAATTATAGATAATAATATTAGAAGTAACTTTTATTTGAACAATTTTCTTCTCCAAACATAAATAACAGATATATTCCATAAAATATAAAAACGGTCTCCCATAAAGAACCCTCCCAGATGTTCCGACTTTGTCCAAAATCTAATCATTTCACGTCAGGCCGAAATAAACCTTAAGTTTAAAATTTAATTTTTTTTCTTTATCCGTCTTTGAGTTTTCTTCAAAATTCGAAATTTACACATTTTCTCAAATATCTCGAATACGGTCCATTTTAGAGAAATTATGTATAGAATAAAAATTATAGAGAATTATATTACAAACAACTTTTATTTGAACAATTTTTATAAAAAATTATTTTTTTTACATTTTGTCAATTTTCTCGAATACGGACCATTTTAGGAAAATTTTGTATAGAACAAAAATTATAGATAATTATATTAGAAGTAACTTTTATTTGTAGAATTTTCTTCTCCAAACGTAAATAACAGATATATTCCATAAAATATAAAAATGACCACCTATAAAGTACCCCCCCAGATGTTCCGACTCTGCCCAAAATCTAATCAGTTCATTAGACGCTGGAATAAAGCTTAAGTTTAAAATTTGGTGTTTTTCTGTGTATCGGTTCATGAGTTATGCGACATACAGACACACACACAGACATCATCGCGAAAATAGTCAAAACAGATTCAGGGGACCTCAAAACGTAAAAATCCGTCGAAAACTCGAGGTCGAAAAAAATCATGATTCCTATACTTTCCTTATATCTGTATGTATACAGATAGGAAAGTAATAAAAAAATATATATACAAATCCTAAGAATATAAAAGTACTGATTTATTTTCCTGTAGTGGATGAAGAGGTTTCTTTAACAATATAGCCAAGTGTACATCAATATTTACGCATTTTGATAAGTTAGAGCCTTTCCAATAACACTGAGTAGATGTTACAGATGGTTCCTCACTTCTTCTATGAAGCCACATGTTTACAACCACCTGAAAAAAATAAAAGGGTTAGATATGCAGTTACAAAATAACTATAACCAGCTACAAAATGCCTTATTTTATGTAACAAGACGAGCAGAAGCTTTACTAGCTCTGAACGAATCCAGTAAAGAAGCTCGGATTTTCAAAACTTAAACAATCTCACCACATTTTCACATTTTTGAAATATAGAGCTTTTCGAAAAAAAAACTGCTATTTTTAAAAGTACAATTTTTTGTTTAAACAGCTATGTCTCATTTTAGGCTATTGAGTATTATAAAATAAAAAATTACGGGATGCTTTGTTAGCTTCAAACGAATCCAGCAGAGCACTCCAGTTTTTTTAAACCACACCACGTTTTTTGGCTCCTACAATATTATAAAATATTCGAAATTTGGCATTTTTAAAAAAATTCGCAATTCCTTGCTGACTTCAAAGTTTTTTTCTGAAAACAAATATACTTACCACATTTTTAGGATTTTAAAACAGCCTAAACATGTGTCATAAGTAGTTGTTTTTATATATAAAAAACAAATTAAAAAACTGAAGTGTCCTGCTGACTTTGTTCCAACAAAGCACCCTGTATTATTTAAAAATAGCAATTTTTTTAGTAAAGTTTTACAATATTTCAAGAGTCTAAAAATGGGGTGTGGTTTTTAGAAAAAAGCTTTAAAAAACCGAATTGCTCTGCTGGCTTCTTTCGAAGGTTAGCATGTATTTTTTAAAAATATTATTTTTTTTTTTTTTTTTTGGAAAAAAAATTGATAATATTTCAAGTGCATAAATATATGGCGTTGCTGTTTTTACAGAAAAAACTTTATAAAACAGAGGTGCTTTGCTGACTTCGTTCGAAGCTATCAGAGCATTTTAAGTTTTGCACCAAAACGAGGAGCATAAAATTTTTGAAAAGGGTATAAAAATAGCCTAAAAATATGGCGTATGTTTTAACTCAAAATTTCATAGGTGCTCTGCAGCATTCTTTGGTATCATAATTATTAGTAGGTTCACTAACAAAATCTATTTCTAGATTATTTTAACACTTGCTGCGATTACAAAAAATGTCTCTTTATATGTCAAAATTAGAAAAAAATATTTATAGGAATAAAGGGCCTTATACGCTGTTTATTATATGTGATATAAAAACAAAAAAAGCATAATAAATATTACAAACCTTGAGATGCAGCATATCCTAAGCATTGTGCACTAAAAATTTCATTTTTGTTAATTACAACAACCACATCATACGGTTTTTGCCGTGTAATTTGTCTCCTTCTCTCTTATGGAAAAAGTAATTATCTCCATATTCTTGCTTGGCAGATCTAAAAATAAAACCTGAGATAAATATGTTTTACTATAAGGTGTATTGCTCCATATAAACTGTAACTACCTACTATTAAAACAAATTATAAATAAAGAGTATTGTTAAAAAATGCAGTAATCATCTCGGTAATCATATTTTCGTTTACAATGGGTAAAACACTTGATTCAACTTTTATAAATCCAGCTGATAAATTCATATTAATAATAAAATTAAACCAAAATAAAAAACTAAGGTTATGTGGTGTCAATTTTAATGTCACTTAGATGTGCGTTCACTTCGACATTCTGTGTGTCGGTTTGTTCGTTGGCTTGGTTTTGTATAACAAAAAAAACTTCGACACAAGATGATTGGTCTATTCCCGATGACGTATAATTTTAAATTTCAATTGGGCCTAATTTAAAAACTTTTGGCTTTTTTAACGAACTGACTATTTAGAATAACTTGTATAGCGACTAACTATTACAATATAATTTATAAAACAGCATATCTCACATGTGAACATGTCCCATTTCAAGATAAATATTTGTGTCAATTATTACACTTTTTACGATACTTTCATTAGTTAACAGGAACCATGTATGTTTTATTTTACAAAATATATATTGTCTCATCTGGTTCTACTGGATCGACCCTGCTTTATATTTTGCTCGGCCAATTTCGGCTATACTGTTATCCTATTTCATTATGCTGACTTCCCTCTCAATTTGGATTTAGTATATTTTCATATTTTTTGTGACATACTATGGATTTAAGAGAATATCTAAAATAGATGTATTAGGTAATTGGATAAAAAATATCAGTACTATTATTCTAGTTAGAGAATAATATTAGTAATATTAAGACATTATTTTAGATACACAGTTATACAATATAGTATAAATAAAATGTAATTTAAACTGCGCATTTTATTAATTTTTACGATTTTATATTGTTCATAAATAAATTTGTCATTGTAATCCAAATAAAAAGAATTATTTTAAATATTTATATTCATTAAAATAAATATAGGGTCTCATCAAGAAGGTGCGAACAGTAGCAGTAGAGAAAATAACACAGAGACAGAACAATCAAGTGAAGATAATAGAATGGAAACAGATACTACAGAATCTGCAGAAGAAATGGGCCAAAAATCAAAAGTAGAAACTAAAATTGAAACACAGGCTGTTATTGAACATAATCCTTGCACAAGTACCAGCCACACTAACAATGAAGAAACAAATCAATCTACAGAAGAGGTATTTTCATATTCTAATACTTCCATTAAAGTAACATTTAACATAGGAATTACCGCACGTACTCGTAATATTAAATAAACAAATTTTAAAAAAATATATATATTTTTTTAATACATGGTAGAACTTGACTAAAAGATATTTCTAAATTTTTTAATGAATATCTTATTATCTGTTATAACTTTGAATTGTCTTTCAAATAATATAGGATTTATGAGCTCTAAATTAATAAACTATAATATTTTTTTTTTTTATTAAGTACAAAAATATATTTCTTTTTATATCAGGTATTATTCAAAATGACCTAAGGCCAAAGCGCGTCCTCGAACTAAAATTGAATTTATATAAAGTTGGTCAGTCGTATATGGAAGAGAATATGTCAGCCTCCACGTAAAACTCAGAAACGGTCACATACGGCGACCAACAACTACAGAAACACCACACAATGTAATAATTTCTAGTAAGCCAGTTTGTCTTGTTTTGTCATTGCTTTTGACTGCGACTGTAAATTATTGAGCTGTCATTTTCTAGTGATGGATCGCTTTGAAAAATCCACGGACAGGTCCGACGGACTAGTCTGAAAGGTTGACTAGTCCAAACACACTTTTCAAAAGTGGAAAAGTGTATTGTGCTAATTCAAAATTTAGTTTAAAAAAGAAGAAACGACAAATGTTTACTGACTTTTATAATGTTTTAACGATGTTTTCGAATTTTCGTTTTATCTTATTGAAATAAACTCGTGAAAAAATAGCAAAAAAATCCAAAGATTAAGTATTTTACAAATAATTTGCCTAAAAAAAAAAACGAAAATGCAAATATTGTTTCCAAAGTGTATTTGAAAAAACATCCAGGATGGAGATTTAACTGTGGATCTTGCACTTGTAACAAAATAAAGTTAACTTTCAGACTTTTCCAAGAGCAATATGAAAATATTTAGATTAAAGTTATGTGGTGCATTGAATTAGTAATAAAATTAGCATTCAAATGAAGGGTTACATTTTGCAATACATAACAATTTTTTATCAAGCTAGAGCACTCTTAAATCAAAAGTAACGCAATGCCGAATTCTCCATCAAATTACCTTTTTAATGATGTCATCCTAGGTACTTTTCATTTTCCTAAAATCCAATGAATACTGCCAAATAACAGGATGGACTGTGGAAGCTCGAAACAAAGAGGAACATTGATTTCTCAGAAAATGATATTCCTGATAAAAGTCTAAAAAAAAGAAATTGATGTCTAGTTTTGAATTAGATATACAGGACCACAAAAAAGTACAAGTGTTATAATATTTTTTTTTGTAATATCTGTACCTATCAGCTGTAAAGAGTGGTAATAAATAAAACAACCTTTTGTATAAGCGATTTTTTTTTGGATGTCGATTATTCGAATGATAAAATTAAAATTTTGATTATTCCATTAATCGAAATTAATAGATTAATCGAAAATAATCGATTACCTAATAATAGTCGATTAATTGATCATTTCGCAAATTCCTGTCTGCGATTATGGCCATCGTCGTTAAGTTCTTGAACCAAATGGATTTTATATGTGTGGTATTTTAATTTTTTTAGAAGATAATATATGGTCGTTTTACTAAAATCATCTGCGGCAATTCTTCTTGTAGGTTAGTGAAAATTATCTTGCATGTCTGACAATAGCTGCATTCAATGAGACATAGCGATCCCAACCGATACCAATCACATTCGTTCTACGATAGGTATCGCTTTGTATCAATTCGTATCATTTTGGAGCGTTTCATTTTTACGTTCCTTTCTGCTGCGATCGCGAAATTTGATCGCGAAAGTTCATAAAAATAACCTAAAACTCCTAAAATCTATCGCTATTTGCGATTGCTTGAAAAATATATCTTTAACAACCTGGTTGTGCTTTACATAGTTTTAAAAATTATAAAAAAAAATAACTAAATATAAAAATTATTGTAAATCGTTGGTCAAAACTCCAAGTGATAAATGAACAAGTTCACTTTCAATTACAAATGCTACGTTTCATTAAACTAGAATTGACGTTCGACACAAATTTATTTTATTCAAATTGAACGTATGGAGCGTACTCTAATCGCAGCAAGAATTTGATACACTCATTGAACGCAGCTAATATATCCTATTTCGTTTCTTTGGATAAATTGCGTTTATCTATGACATTTCCAAATTCACGAAATTTGTTATCTATAACCGTATACTGAAAAATGCGACAGTCAGGATACTTAGTATTGAAAATTTCACATACCTGCTTCTGCATTCTTGTTTTATCACCTCATCCCAATAATATCAAAATTTCAATTCTTTGGCTAACCGAAAAACTCATTGTTAAAACAATGATCAACTTGACAGTCAGCGATAAATAAATAGAACGATATGTTTGCACAGATGTAGCCAATTAAGAAATTTAAATGATAATGTTTTCTGATATGTAAAAAGAAACCCTTTAATACTTCTTTCTTTTTATTGGGTATTTCACCACCTGGGAGCAGAAAAAAAACGATATATTTAAATTGAATAGTTATGACACAAAATCAATTAGAAAAGTCAGATTTGACAGATATTTACCACATAGCGACAGTTTAGGACGCATTTGATTGTATACATTTTAAAATGTAATATTCTTGATGGAGAATATACAAAATTCAAAAAACCTTATACTGCTGGATAAAGAATTAAAAACCCTTTCAAATGTAATATTCTTGATGGAGAATATACAAAATTCAAAAACCTTGCACTGCTGGATAAATAATTAAAAACCCTTTCAAATAAGCTGATTCCATTTTAACATTTTAAAGGGGTTGTTGTCGCTCCAAGGGGGTTGAAGAGGGAGGTATAAAATTATTATTTAAAAATGCGACAGTCAGGATACTTAGTATTGAAAATTTCACATACCTGCTTCTGCATTCTTGTTTTATCACCTCATCCCAATAATATCAAAATTTCAATTCTTTGGCTAACCGAAAAACTCATTGTTAAAACAATGATCAACTTGACAGTCAGCGATAAATAAATAGAACGATATGTTTGCACAGATGTAGCCAATTAAGAAATTTAAATGATAATGTTTTCTGATATGTAAAAAGAAACCCTTTAATACTTCTTTCTTTTTATTGGGTATTTCACCACCTGGGAGCAGAAAAAAAACGATATATTTAAATTGAATAGTTATGACACAAAATCAATTAGAAAAGTCAGATTTGACAGATATTTACCACATAGCGACAGTTTAGGACGCATTTGATTGTATACATTTTAAAATGTAATATTCTTGATGGAGAATATACAAAATTCAAAAAACCTTATACTGCTGGATAAAGAATTAAAAACCCTTTCAAATGTAATATTCTTGATGGAGAATATACAAAATTCAAAAACCTTGCACTGCTGGATAAATAATTAAAAACCCTTTCAAATAAGCTGATTCCATTTTAACATTTTAAAGGGGTTGTTGTCGCTCCAAGGGGGTTGAAGAGGGAGGTATAAAATTATTATTTAAAAATGTCATTTTAGAATTAAAAACTGACATGTTTAAACATTTTACTCATAAATTGTAAGTTACTTATAGACCATACTGTATATGATATTTTTTGGTTAAATTTGTCTTAATATTTACAATTTTTTAAGCCTACTTCAAGCGATCAGACCAAACCCCTAGACACTCAAGAAAATCAACAAGCCACTCAACCTTCACAAGACGATGCACAAGGTGATGAAGTCCTTGAAGATACACTAGAATCCATTAACGAGATTCATAACGTCTTCATTGATGTCCTCAATGTCTTGAGAAGAGAACGAGGTGTTTTAGACGAAATTGAAGAGGACAATGAAGAAAATCATGATGCAGAAGCAGAAACGAGAGATAATATAAATGAAAATCATGTTGAAATGGACCAAAGCGGACCTAGTATTGAGAGTAATAAGAACACAAAGAAGAGGGAGAAATTTGACAGCGGTTTGGGAGATGAAATTGTAGAGAACCATAGTGATTCTTCTGATGAAGATCTTGGTGAAGGTACGAAACTCTTGAATATGAAAATTTATTTTAGCTAATAATAAACTTAACATATAATTCTCAGCACAAATATTTAATGACAAATAATATTGTATACTTAAGGTATTTATTTAAGTAGCAGAATTATTATGAGAAAGTACAGGGCGTGACAAGTCTAAATTAAAGTCTACCTTCTAGTATAATAAAAATCACGTATTATTAAATATAGTTTTTAAAAATTATACTTTACAATAAGGATGACGTCTCATCTTTTTCGGTCTAGAATCGGAAAGAACGCCCCAGGAACACTTGGTAGGGAACTTATTAAAACTAACCAAAGACACAGGACTATTCCAAAGATAGTAACTGAACACGGGAAAGCAGGGGAATACAATAGACCCAAGAGGCCGCAGTGTTCTGGGTCAAACCTAACCTTACCTGCTTATAACCGACAAAGATAAAGATAAAATATAAGGATGAGTGCTTCATATAGTCATAGAAAACTCTACCATACTAATTTACACAATATTATCACCATTTTACAGTGGTCCAAGTCAATACATTTCAGAACAAAAATATTCTGACCAGCTACTTCATGATTTGCAAATGTGTATCTTGGCTGATTTTTAGTAATTTAATTAACTTAATTTTATCTTCCAGGCAACAATATATTTTGTAACAAAACGGAATACAAAAATATTTTAAATTTAAATTAGACCATAATAATTCTATATTTTTTTTATAAAATGACACAAGCAAAAAATATAAACTATTTATGTTTTGTGATGTATGAAAATTATTTTTATTTTGGTAGAACCGGTATCCTCGTTTCAACGAGTATACCGCGTAGGTCCAAGATTGAGGGTGTCAATTTACATCGTTTAGCGATTATTTTTTATTTGGCGCCTTTGTTAATAATTAAAAGACAAAATGAGTATCAAGTCAATATTTAGTGTACAGTACAGTAGAACACACCTAGTAATGAATTTACATCGCATAGAGAGAAATCATTAATTTGTTAGCCACTTGGTCAAATTATCACATTTCAATTTTTTGTTTGTATTCTACAGAAGTTAGTTCTAAAAATCAGTAGTGCACTTGGGGTTGAGATATATGGTTAAACCAATTACTCTCTTTAAACCACTCACGTCCAAATATAATTAAGTGTCTCATCTTTATTTTGCTTGATGCGTCAGTTAACGTACTGTATATTAAATAAATTAAAGATAATTGAATTATGTTCTGATTTTGATAATGTGTATCTTGGACATTTAATTCGTGTATTATGCATTGGTAGTCCACATAAGTGTTTATGTATTTCAATTAAATTTACATAGATAAATAATAATAAATGTCATGATTTTATGAGTAATTGATAATGGACTACAGAATTCTCTAAACTGAGCATCTGATAATAGTTTTATTGCTTTTTTTGTTGACGCAAAATTTAAACCGGTTGCATTACCCCACAGCAATATACTGTGACGCGAAAGCCGTCTCTGTTCCTTGTTTACTTCTTGCCCGCGGTATGAAGTCTAGCGCTGGCCATATAGAGACAAACGCACCGCTTCGAGAAGCTACCGGATAGATCCCTTTGTGGCGTATGTTTCATAGAGAAGAAGTTTTCGATCGTTCTGGAAAGCCGAGAGAGTTCTGGTGCAGAACTGGCTTTATATAAATAGCGCGAGTTTGTCGACGAACAAGAAGATTCAATTTAAGTGTTGGATAGAAAAGATGAATTGTAATAAATAAATTAGAATTATGAGTTATAACGGTGTCTAAGTATTTTATAAATTAATTGATACGTTATAAATAAATTGTAAATAAAGTGTTTTAAATAAATAAACTATAAATAAATTAAACGTTACAGTACCATAACTAATATGTGAGACAAATAGTGAAAAATATACGGTTCTTAGAACATCATATCTCAGTAATATACTTAAGCTGTCTTAAGAGAAACAAAGTGGAAGATAATTAATATTTCCCCTTCAGTTACAGTATTTTTTTCAAATTTACCTAGGGTTTACTACCAATTTCTGCTATTTCATGTGTACCTACAATTTTTTTTCCGTTTGCTGTCTAACATTATTTTGTATTAATTGTATTTTGCTTTCTTAGGAATAAATATTATTAATGTATAGGTATACTCGTATTTATACCTATACATTTTTTTCTAAGATACTTTTTGATAAAATAATAAAAGGCATCTTTACGATGTTTAGAATATAAAATATTTAATAACTGATAATAAATCGGCACGGCTATGGATATCGGTCGGTCCAAAGTGGATTAGTTATCATTTCCAGAATTTTTAGTAAAAGGTAGTTATTGGTTTGAATATGCAATTCAAAATACTCACGATAAATTGGTATTTAAAGAAAAAAGAATTTAACCATTTATTTAGCATTTTATTATAATGAAAATTACTCATAGTAAAGCTCAAACTTTTCTTTATTTAGGTCGCCTTTAGAAACTCTGGAAACGTTTTTACTTTTTTAAATAATTATCATAGCAGTGGCTGATGTTTTTACCATGTGTTATTTTGCCGAAATTTTTGTGTTGATTGTAATTACAGTTAAATTGATTTAATCCTAACTTTAATGACAACTATTTTATGACTATTTAAATTTATGTTTCTTTAAATTATGTCTTATTACGTTTTGCATTAAATTACTAATAAAATTAGCTTTTAAATTAAGCTAGAGGGCGCTAAAATTAAAAATAGTGCCAATAAGCAGTCCCATTTGAATTATCCATAAAATTATTTGAGTTCCCATTTGTATGTGTACAGTTTAATTAAGTAATAACTTAAACTAATAAATATTTTATTTTTTAAGACCTACAGTCAAGTAGCGGTGATGATTCTGGTCAGAAACGCAACAAACGCACTCAAAAATCGGAAAAAAACATTTCAGCCTTAAAATGGCGTCGCATCGAAGCTGATATTCACACAATGGTTGCTGATAGTAGCAGTGAAAATGAAAATGAAGAAGAACCGAAGATCGACAACGAGATGAAGATGTATAAGAGCCCCTACACAGATCACTTGAAATCAAGCATACAGCAATTGCCCTTGCCAACAATATTGAAAAAATACCTCAACTATTATAGGGAATTTTGAATTTAATTTTGTTTATTTTTGAATTCGATTGTGTCAATAAGTGCTGAAATATTTTTATACATATTTCAAAATAGCTTGAAAATATACCAATTTAAATCGTTAATTACCAACTGATGCTTTACAGTTTCGGCATAAATAGTGGTGTTGCCTCTTAATTTTTTTAAATATTTGAAATATAGAATTAAAATTAGGTAGGCAATTTATAATTTTTGGAAATTATTTTTAATTAATAACATAAAGGTTTTGTATTTCTAAAATTCTATAGTTTTCTACAACAAATTTCTACTCGGAGGAAAGTGATTTCATGTTTTTTACGAATACATATTGGGACCTGAAAATAAGCGATACTACTCTAATTTAATTGATGTTTTATTTTTCATGTGCTTTAATGGTGTTTTAAGTTAGTTATTTCATTTGAAATAATTTATTTGATAATAAAACTTAAAAATATAGAACTTTTTGTCCAGGTAACCACGTTACTAAAAAACCAAAAACTCTATCGGTACAAATACATACCATATTTTAACAGAATGGTAAATATTTATATCTCGGTGCGTAACCTGTATGGTGCATTGTGTACAAACATCTCGTTAAAGGGTTTCATCCTACTATCCGGAGATGGTAATTTCGAAGTTTTAGCCCTAGTAAATTGAAGTAGTTTATTTTTTATAATAGTTTAACTAAAATTAGACAAGGAAACTTGTTTTATTTGTTAATTTAATTTATATTTTGATAAGATGTACTATTATTCCTGTCTAACCTAAACAAAAATAAAACAAAATTGGACATAAATGCGCCACTTGAGTTTGCAACGGTGCCACATCGTTGTATTTTATTGTAGAATGATACAACTGTTGCTGAAAGTTTTGGTAAAATGATTTTTTTTTATTTAGAAAGAATGTGTATTATGATGATGAGAACAATTAACTGACAGATATTTGTATTGAAATAAATATATTTTATCATGGTAGGTTATGTTACTCTTAATAATTCAGCCAATCAACTTTATATGAAGAATATTTTTTACCGATAACTTAACTATGAATATGGCTTTTATAGATTGTACTAATGATTCGAGAGGGCATCCGATCGCAGTGGCTCCAGACTGTGTCTAGTCGGTACAGTATAGTCAAGAGTTTTAATCGAAGCTAAAGCGAAGATATTTAAAACAATTTCACCGGTCAGATTTAGTTCAGATTTTTAATTTTTTTTTTTTTCATAAGTATGTATAATAATGCTTTATCAAAGGCTCCGGACCGTACACGTTAGGTAATTTGGTTAGTTTAATTAAAATTAAATGGAATTTTAATTTTATATGATTTTTACCCTAAGCTTTTTAAAACAAACAAAAAATATATGGTTTTTAGAATCAGTTATTTTAAATAATCTTGACACTTGTAATTTATTTACCATGTTGCTTCAAGACATAGTTTGTCATAAAAAGTGGATGTTTTTGCACATTTCACATATAAAATTGAGTTTTTGATTAGATTTTTCTCGAAAAATACTGGATTTTCCGTAAATTTTCTTTCCAAAATTTACTTTAGGAACTTGTTACTTTTAAGTGTTTAAAATTTATTTGCAAAATTTGTACTCCGGATTCCTCGAGAGACCTGCATGGGTACAAAATTTGAAAATTAGAAAGCCAGTTTCAAAATGTAGTGAGTTTGTAAGTTCTCAGTATTTCAAAGAAGATGATAATAGTTTATTAAAAGTTATCAAAAATTTCTTAAATTAACATAAATAAATACAAGAAACAAAAAAAAATAATTTATTGAGAAAATATAATATTTATTAAAAAATAATAATATAGTAATAATGCAAAATGACTTTTCGTTTAAAAAGAACAATATACAAACAAATGTTTTTAAACACCTATACATTTAAACAAATACATTCACATTTAAAAACATTTATCTTTGAGTAGTTCCAATGTCAAGTGCAGACAGCGCTGCGATCTTAATTTCAGCTCCCAATACCCGAAATGTCCCTAAATCAGACACATTGTACCTTGTCTACTTTAAAATGTAACGACAGATTTTAGAATATTTAAATAAGTTACTTCAGTTGATTTTGATTTTTCTTCAATCTAGTTTTTGTTCCTGATCAGTTCAATGGACACTGTCCTCATTCGGAAACATATCCGACCTGTCCATATATAGGGTGATCAGTAAGTATGTGGCCAAATATTAGAGTGTAATTCCTTACTCAATTTTAAGACTAATTGTATAATCGCGAATTTAGAAATACAAATAGAACTTGATTCTAATTTGTTAAATATTAGTATAATAATTATTGCGATTCTTGGAATAAAAGTCAGTTGAATCTTATTCATCAAATATAATACCTCTAAGTCAGTTTTATGTTCACAGCTTAGCAACATTTTGAATAGATATTAAAAAAATATAACTTAAAACTTATTCCTCAAATATAATATGCCTTTACAAAAATTTATTTTGTTCACAGCTTACCAAAACGTCTCGAATTAGTATAATCACAACACAATTGTTCTTGGAATAAAAGTATTCAACTCATTTATCTTGAAGCTTTTTCATCAAATAATGTAATAATACATTTACCAGGTTTGAAACGTCTCGACTATTAATATAATCCAGATTCTTTGTTACTGATATCTGATCTGTATACAACTTGTGCAATTACCTGAAATTTTGGATAAAAAAATGTGTATCCTAAAGTTGTTATTGTAAAAAAAATATAAACAAGCTCTTATTGACACATTCTATATAAGTAAATATAAACATATTAATAGCTTAGCTTAGACTAGAGAGGTGAGATTCGTTTAGTTTTAAATGATATATAATATAACCATTTTTTAGGTTGAACCGAAATAAATTAGTATAAAATACACATTTTTCAATTAGGTAGATTGTCTAGATATTTTTATTTAAAAGTCGAAAACATAAATTGAAAATGAAAAATTGATATCCTTTTATGGAGCAACCAAAGTTCTTTTCATTTATATAGGGTTTAACAGATTTCAATACCGAATGTTCCAAATAACATTGACCCATTTTAAGTGGCCCCAAAAATACAGCACTAAAGAAATCGGTTTTAATTGTCCTGCTCTGTATGTTTCTTGTAAAAAAAAATAGATCCATGCTTTTATTTTGTTATCCATATTTATTGCCCAAACACAGGCGTACAAAATCCCTCTTGTACTCGTGGAGAAACTGTGTGCCACGTTGGAATAAAACTTTGTTTGATTAACACGTTGACTGCCGGCGCGCTTTTTTATTGCAATTTACGTTCGGGCCGGAGACTTATTCCAAATGTGTTTATATTTTGGGCCATGCCGCGCAAATAATGAATTTCCAAAGAAATGTTCAAATTTTTATTACCCCTACAATAAAAATATCGGAAATGTGTCTCGGTCATATTGACCAAGCCTGGCCCTGTGTGGAAGTTAGTAATTGTTCTAAAATATTTTTTGGTCATATAGACCGCATCGGCCTGGAGAGCTAATTTCTCGGTCATATTGACCGAGACGGCGGTTAAAGTGTTAAAATCAATTAGTGAAAAATGTATCCATGTGTAAATTGTTGTTTTGCAGGAAATATACCCAAAACTAGTTTAAATTACAACTAATACCGTCTAAGTACGTTTTCAAACCTTGAGACATCCACATCCAATTATTTTCCAAATTGTATTTCAAGCATTTATACCGAAAAAATTCTGAAATATGTTGTAAATAATGTCTCTGAATACTAAATAAAATGACGTTTAATTTTCTCTGTTAAAATGGGTCAATTTTCTTTGGTGCATGAATGCGGTCCATTTTGCTACTTTGTTCTAAAACTTCTTTGAATCAATTACCATAACTTATTACAGTTTACAATATTACAAATATTCTTGTAAACCAGTGACCTAAGCTGAATATAAATAACCAGTAAACGATTTTTTAAATCTAAACAAACTACCTTAAAGGTAAATTAGATATTAACCAATAATTACATGAATATAAAAATTGTCTGTTAAAATTCAATTTTATACATAATTATTGGCGGAAACTACAAAAAAGATGTGTTTTATTTGTTCTTTTTCTTTTAGTTAATGTATAATCATAATGTGATATTTAAATTTATATATTTTTTTTTTCTAGAAGATGAAACACTAACCGTGATGTTTAGTAAAGCATGGGAAAATTATTCTAAAAAAAAATGTGTCCGTTAGAGTTTCAGCTTGTTGATTCGTCAAGAAACTTTTATTTGATATATGTTCTATTTAGTTTACTCACATATTAAGGAGTTTATGTATAAAGTACTTTAATGATTTAGAGTGATATGATTTATGTTGGAAATAATAAATTAATTATAATAGTTTTTTCATTTATTACCTAATTCGTTGCCAAGGATTTCTTTACATGCTACAAAAATTAAAAAGAGCAACAGAAAGAATACTATTCATATGAAGCGAGAATAAGAGGGAGAAATCAGAAGTAGGGCGTTGGCACACTATTCTTCACGACGCCGATCGATTTCATCCGCTCACTCCAGACAAATTTAGTCTTAGACCAGGCCAGGGATTCTTATACTCAACACGCGCCATATTGAAAGATGAGAATCCCACTGCAGATCAAGTTTATAGCACGCGAAGGTAAAACAATAATAGATTCTGGTTTTCGTTATTAACGTAATTAATAGTGAAGTGGTACTATGGGGGCCATTCCGTTCAAAACATAAATTTATTTGCAGCTGAATTTGAAAATAGACCAATTCCTACGGATAATGCATTTCGTGAAATTATAGCAAAATTTGATAATTTTGGCTGCGTTAATAATTGAAGAGGAAATTAAAAACGTGCTAAGTAAAAAAATGTAGCAGGAAAAAGCGCTGGACTTACTCGTATCGCCATCTTTCAATGAAGTCGGAATACATCGAATTTCATGTGGGCACTTAGATCAAATATGAACGGGATTTGTTTCCTACAATTTTATAACTATTTAATTAAGTTACGAGACATATTATTTTTCTACACAGTCTCCTGCCCTAGAAATACTTTTTCTTATCAGATTGGTAGATTTTTTATTCCATCATTGTAGAAACTCTTCGGACGTTCTTGTAGCCATTGGAACACAAATGCTTCAACCGCGTCGTTTTCATTAAACTTTGGCCTCCAAGCGCTTCTTTGAGAGATCCAAAATGCTGAAAGTCGCAAACAAATAAGTCGGGACTGTATTACGAATGTTCCAACGATTTGGCCTTATGAGGCCTGACGTCATGCAAAAGAATGACACATCTGACCGATCTTTTCTTCCATTCCATACTCGGCTGTTTCGACTCAGACGTGTAATAATGCACCCGTCACAAAATGTCAGTTCTCCTTGACCAAAAACTTGGTGATAATACATTCCTCCACGGAGACATGCACTTCTTTCACGCTCATAGTCTCTTTTCTTAATAAAGGGGCGCTAGCGAATCGCGGCTATCTGTGCGTCAGTTCGTTGAAGCTCACGTACACAGCGAAAATTTAAAAATAAATCGGTACCTTTTATATTTGATGCACCCATGTAAGTTAGTGGCAATGACACATAGATCGTTTTTAAAGAAAAATTATCCCTTAGCACGTTTGTACTCCAATTGCAAAAAGTGTTGTTCCTCTAGGCAGCCACGTCGAAATCAATTGACGGAAAATTAGGGAAACGCAAGGCTGTGCATTAGTTGAAGCTAGTTATATAAGAAGAAACGTTGATTCTATTAAAATATAAAACCGTAAACTGTTAACTTTGCGTTTATCATTATCATGTAAAATACATAATTAAAATTCATTCCATTTTAGATTGTTGTAGAGTAAACGTCAAATAAATAAAGGCTTACATTTTTAAAAAGTAAATTTTTGTTTTTTAAAAAATTATTTTTGAGTTAAATAAATTTAACTAGCTATACCGTGTTCAAGTAGACACATTTACGCTGAAGTTGACTCGAAAGAGAGACGAGTACGAAATATTTTAAAAATAAACGGGTATTCCACTTGATATTTTTCCTGAAGACCATTTTAAACGGGATGGAGTTTTGGAAGATAATGATGGAAAAACAAATCCAAATAATAATTTATTGAAAAATATTTTATTTACAGATGAGTCTTCTTTCACTGTCTATAGAAAACATAATCCATCCGTTTTACGCTATTGGTCGCAGGAGAATAAACACTTAAGTGTAGCTTGTAACATTTTAGAATTCCTTTTAAAAATGTTATTTTGAATTTGTGACATCCTGTATAAACATAGTATTCGAATAATTTAAAATTTAATTATCGCCGCCCGCAATATTCCTAAGAAAGGGAAATTTTGCGATGGGTTCAAGTTAGCAGTCGATATCCAAATCTTTTCTTCAAATTAATTTTCACATCATATCTTGAACGACCAGTGTCTTTGGCTGCAAATCGATACATTTTTGCCAGACTAACGTAAGCTACATTTTGTGTGTGTGTGTGTGTGTGCGTGTGCGTGTGTGTGTGTCTGTAGGTCGCATAACTCATGAACCGATACACAGAAAAACACCAAATTTTAAACTTAAGCTTTATTCCAGCATCTAATGAACTGATTAGATTTTGGGCAGAGTCGGAACATCTGGGGGGGTACTTTATAGGTGGTCATTTTAATATTTTATGGAATATATCTGTTATTTAGGTTTGGAGAAGAAAATTATTCAAATAAAAGTTACTTATAATATAATTATCTATAATTTTTGTTCTATACAAAATTTTCCTAAAATGGTCCGTATTCGAGAAATTTGACAAAATCTAAAAAAAATATTTTTTTATAAAAATTGTTCAAATAAAAGTTGTTTGTAATATAATTTTTATTATATACATAATTTCTCTAAAATGGACCGTATTCGAGTAATTTGAGAAAATGTGTAAATTTTGAAGAAAACTCAAAAACGGATAAAGAAAAAAACATTAAATTTTAAACTTAAAGTTTATTTCGGCCTGACGTGAAATGATTAGATTTTGGACAAAGTCGGAACATCTAGGGGGGTACTTTATGGGAGGCCGTTTTTATATTTTATGGAATATATCTCTTATTTATGTTTGGAGAAGAAAATTGTTCAAATAAAAGTTACTTCTAATGTTATTATCTATAATTTTTGTTTTATGTCAAAATTTCCTGAAATGGTCCGTATTCGAGAAATTTGACAAAATGTGCAAAATTCTGATTTTTATGAAAATTGTTGTGTGGTTTGCGATATCGATCTCTATAATTTTTGTTTATACATGATTTTTCTAAAATGGACCGTAATGGAAAAGTGCTAAATTTAAATTTTTCAGTATTTTCGTTTTCAATGAATATCTATAGAAAAATGTTTCGAGGTAGATGTATGTGGACAATGTATATATTTAGTTTATCTTCTAAACATTTATAGATATGCTGCAATAGGTTGTACAAAATAACCGGAAAAAGCGTATAATAACTAGATAGGAAAGTCATGTGTTGGACACATCAGATTTTTTACTGTTGGAAATTTTTTAAAAGTAGTTATTTAAAAGTTTGATTTATATCTCATATAAGAGCCTCGTGAAAAACAGAATTTATTTTGTTTATGTAGCGAATACAAGCAGCTTCCATTCAATTTTTTTTCGTGTTTTACATTGGAAAGTAAAAAATAGACACCGCACATTTTTACATAAGCAGAGCAGTATCGATTTACCGGAAGATAGAGGTTGGCGTTTGTGCTCTTGGAGCTACCAAATCTATGGAGACTGATCTTTACAAATATTGTAACTAAAGTTCACGAGGCTAAAATATATAACATCGTACGATTGAGATTTTAATCTAGTGTTGGTACCAGCAAAATAAAATCATTCATGTTCATAAAAATTTATTTATTTATTACTAATCCACTGGTAAAATTGCATTTTCACAATTACTAAAATAAACAAATTCATTTATATTTATGTTGAATCTTATTTTTAAACGTTACAACAATTCTCTTTTTACTTAAATTATATATAATTTCAAATTAATTGTCTTTTTGATAAAGCTAGATTTTATAATTCCTAACTAGTTTCTTAAAAAAGAAAAAAACTATTTCCCCAAAAGTGTTAGAAAAGCCGAATTCACGACTGAGAAACCCATATGGTTAATTTGCTTATTTCTTGATTTGATTAAAGGTAAGTAATGTTTGGTATAAAATATCAAAATTTCTTGTTTTCAAAATTAATTGAACGAATTAAATAAGTTTTATTGCAAATTAACGCAGACTTATTACAAGTTGTACGCACCCATCTGAAAAAACTGAATGTCTGGTGGGGAATCCTGGGGAATAATATCATTGGTCCGTTTTTCATTCCGGATAACCTGCATGTCCAGAAGTATTTACTATGGTTCGGAATTTTGCAATCGAGTTATATTGGTGTCAAAGGCACTATCTCCAGGGTCGCCAGACTTAGCGCCGCTTGATTTTTATTTTTGGGGAATGCTTAAAAGTCCTTTAGACCGGTTCGAGTTTGAACGAGCTACCAATAGTATATTTGGTTCATACCTTGGGAGTGCTGGGAGGAGCGACTCCTCACTAATCAATTCATCATAAAGTGTGATATAATGCGTGTTCACTTTTTATGAAGCTGTCACTGTTCCTCTTGTTAATTCGCAATACCCAATAAAAATTTAAGCCGAATCTGTATATAGGGTGTTTACAAAGGTGACACTTATTTTATAACTATACAGAAGTCATTCAAATAAACTTTTCAATCAAATTCATTAAAACAAATATTAAAAAAAATCACAAGGATTTAGTTCTGGATGACCTATGTGGCAACGCAACTGGTCCATTTCGACCAATCTACCTATTCTGAAAAGTAATGTCTGAAAATTCCCGGATTTCCCTACCAATAATAGGCCCAGATTTAATTTTTTATTTCTGTATTCTAACTTTTTTTTGTTGTATGGTCACCGCAGTGATGCCAGGTCTAGGGAAATGTCTCTAGTTTTACGGACAAATGACTAAATTTATTTTTACTAGGGAAATGGTGAAATTCTAGGGATTTTTATCTCTAGTGACTATTCTATTTAATACTGTTACACGCACCTAAATTGGATATTTTAAAAAACACAAACCGTTTTGTACTATAAAAATAGTATTTATAGACTGATTTACCTCCACTACCTCTACTGATGTAAAAAGATACAAGTATAATAATATAATATAGCATAATGCTGGCAGCACTGCAAACGTCCGTGTCGCGGTGTGTGATTCCCCGAACACCGATTCTTAACCTTTGTATTCATTGTATAAATATATCTACTACTACTTATACAATGGTATTAGTTTTGTTTATATTTATCAAAATGTGTATTTGCTACGTTTTATTAATTTGGT